AGTGATATGCATTATTGGCATGGACTATCGTAGCAAAGGTACTTCAATCGTGGTGAGATCAGGCTGAAAATTTAAACACTAGGACCATTGCTTTCCGGCTCTGGCGGTCGCATATCTAGTACCCGTTGCTGCTAACAAAATTCATAAACAAAAAACATTGAAACAAAAAAAACCTAACGTACTTTTTCTAGTTATTCAATAGTCACCGGTAAAACGGAATTTATAGCCCTGTCATCCCACAACGTAAATTCAAAGTAGTTGTAACCTGGAAGACTCGTGCCTTGGACGGAGCCCGTGTTTCGCCAGTGTTGTGAGGTTATCCCGCCCCAGTCACGCCCCAGTCTTTATTCTAGTGTGGAGGAATTCCGTGAGAAGGCCGCAGAGACTGGGGCTCGGAGAAATAAAATATGGCGGACAATCTGACTCGCTGTGCATGTGACACAAGGAATTGCAGTTGGTCGTGAATGGATCTTTGCGATCCCGTAAGCATTATTTTGGTAACAGCTGGCAGTAGAGGGCAGAGTCTGTTATTTCGTTATCCATTTCTACCACCATGCCAGACGGAGCGAAGAGAAAAAGGTAAAAAGTTCGAGCTTCTGGAACTATTTCCAGCTACTTCGTGTACGATGTAAGGTAGCTTAGTGACTTTGTATTAAAATTTGGGTTGCAGAAATTCCCAAGAATCGCTTTGCGTTGGGTAAAGTGGAAGAAAATACTGATACAAGGTACAGATTTAAAAAAATCATACTTTGAAATGACCAGGAATTTATTTGTGCAATAGGATTTAATTGTGTCTGGCTTATAATTTACTTCCGTGGGAGCTGGGTGGGAGGGGTTTACTGGGCCATTCCATTTAATATCCGCTCCCCCTATTGAGGGCTATGGAAATCTTGGAGAGCGGGGGGAAAGGTCAAGTGAAGAGGGCAAAAATCTGGGGTTGGATCATCACAGACAAGATGGACTTACAAGTGAGAGGTCTGAAGGGGTACGTGGAAAATTTCTTTAAAGGATTCCGAAGGGTGCCTTTTAATATGAGTTTGCACTGTAGAAGGAAAAAATATGGACAGTGTAACAATCCTTAATACTTAGGCAATCGCAGAATTTCTGGAGGGGGGAGGGAAATCACAAAAATCATATGGTTACACTCTCAAAACTTGTTATCTGAAGCCAGAGGTTTCATGGAAAACCTCAATGGAGGGGAAGGGGTCAGGGGGAGGGGTGCAGACAGTAAATGGAATGGTCCATTACCAGGGACAAAGTGGCATTCTCAGAAGGAATATCTCTGGGATTATATTTGGAACAGATTTGGTATCTGAAAAGTTTTCTGTTCAGGCAGGCTTCAAGAATATCTCTAAGTTAGAGAGCAACATAACATAATATTATTTGTGAAACACAACGTACAACTATCAAATGAACTCCATGATTCTTTAGGATATGGTACATATGACACAGAATGCATAATTAGGTCTACCTTAGGGAAGGGTTGCTTCTTTAAGAGCCAGGTTCATGCAGTGTATATTCCATTCAAAGCTATTTATGCACTTAAATTTGTGGTCAAAGAAATGTCAGTGAATTTTTGTGTTATAAATTCATGACGGTAGCCACCTGATGGATCTTTTTATCTGGAGTCCATCATGCAAACCATTTGGCATCTATGTCTGAGTCCCATAGATGTGAAAAGTGCTAAAATACTCTATTTGCTTTTGTTTCCTTCAGAAATTTTTCTGGTATTAAAGACGGCCACCTGATTGGGTAAGAAAAATTATAATTAAAGGTGTAGTGTTTATAATATAAATGCACTCTGAAAGAGCTACTTAGCATTGACTGGCTAAAAATACAGTTGTACCTAACAACAAATGTGCAATACAATTATGGTGTCTTTGTTACATGGACCAAATAATATTTAGCAAAAAATTTTGATGTTACTCTAAACAAGAGGAAGTTTGAAGGACTTCATGAGAATCATTTACAATATTTATTGCAGTCAATCTGGTCATTCTTTGCTGTGTATCTTTGCAAATATGTTACATAACACGCTGTTTTGCAATCAATCTGGTTGGTCTTTGCCATGCAACTTTGCCAATATGTTGTCACACGCTGTTTTGCTCTAGATCTGTTGTTACAGTTTGCTTGGAGCAACTTGGAAATTCAAATCAAATTTGAGCAAATGCAGTCAAATTTGCTTTCTTCGCAAAAGCTGTTGTACAAAAAATCCATTTAGTTTGACTATAATGGACAAGAATCTTCAGATTAATAGCTTATAAATTATCAATGCACATGGTCATTCATTCTCGTCATCAGAGGCTGTGCTCCTTTTGGTCAGCACCAAGAATGGCTGGTCCAACACTGGAAGTCCGTGATTCATAGACTTCCGGTCAAATCTGGCAAATCTGATTGGCTGAGAATGCCAAACACATACGTTGCGCATGCTCAGAGAATCCGGTCCGTCCATAGGTGGTGATTCTTGGTTCTGACCAAAAGTAGCACAGCCTCTGGGGATGAAGATGATGTTCATTTTGTTAATTGATAAAAAAGCAAAGAAATGTCAAATATTCTTTTTACCAAGTTTCTCAGACAGCACACTAGCAAACATATTGTCGCCCAAGTCTGATGCCTGTGGCACCAAATTTGAGTTGAAAGTTGATGAGGTGCTGTTTGTGGGCCATCCAACCCTGGCACATGAAAGACATGACCATGAATTCAAGGTAAGTAGTGTTCTGAGAGTTCTTAGCTTATACTCACCAGTTTGATGCGGCCCAACAGTTTCTTTAGAAATGAGTAAGTATTTTGTTCATCAATTTTTAAAGATTGCTGTCAAACATGATTTAACCAACAGTATATGAAGTGGGCTTGGTGTGTGACCAGTCAAATCAGTGCCTCTTGAGAGTACTTTAATTAATTTATGTGGTGCTATTTATTACATCGATGAATAAAGTGGCTCTGCCTTTTTGGTGTAGGAGTGAATGATAAGTGTGTCAACATACCAATGAAAACTATGAGGCAGTAAGTAAGCAGTTGAACCTCTACTTATTGACACATCCATGATGCAGACTCCTCTATATATCAGACAGTTCACCTGGTCCCAAAGAAAATGGAAATTAATATATATTGTGGAGGCACAGCGGCCTTATGGTCAGTGTGCTCAACTCTGGTTGAGCAGACCAGGTTCGAGCCCTGGCCGGGGACATTGCGTTTTGTTCTTGGGCAAGACACTTTACTTTCACAGTGCCTCTCTCCACCCAGGTGTGCAAACGGGTACTGGTGAATTTAGTGCTGGGAGTAACCCTTCAATGGACTGGCATCCCATCCGGGGGCAGGTAGAAATATACCTAGTCGCTTCATGCCATGGAAACTGGCTTAAGCTCAAGCCTGATAGGCCACTTGGCTTGTATGAAGACTTTACCTTTCACCATTTTGCTTCTATATATAATGATACAGACACCTCTTAATACAGACACTTAGATTTGCACCTTTGGTGTCTGTATTAAAGAGGATCGACTTGATCATTAAATAATTTCACAGAATCATAATAATTTTAATGACTGGAATTCACCTGCTCATAGAGAAATGATTCCTCATCAAGGAAAGATGATGTGATAATGAAGCTCTTCAATGTTGTCTTTGTTCTTCAGGTACTTGTAGATTCATTTTGGCATGCAATGTTATTAATAAGTTATTTCCTGCGTCATCTAAAATGCAGTTCAACCCTTATCAAATGGCCACCCTCAGGGAAATGTATAGTGGCTGCTTAAAAGGGGTTGGTCATTTAAATTAAAATAGAGGTTAAAACAATAGAAAAGCCCTCGTGGGGACTTTGGTTACTGGCTGCCCAACAGGGGTGGCTGTTTAATGGGTGGCCACTTTATAGGGGTTGGAATGGTCTGGTGTTACATTGAGAAAGAAAAAAAATCTATGGCAAAAATACTTTCTACTTCCTAGAAACTTTTTTAATAATAACATTGTCATGAATAACTGGCTACAACATGGCTCATGGACCATTTTTAGAGGAGCACAAGTCAAGATGATCATGGATATGGAAATTTATGTCTCTTACACTCTTACTTTCTAACTCGTTCATTCTTTAACTGCAATTAGGATTTCATACATTAAGAATAAAATGTAATCAAGAAGATTCAAACCTGAAGCCTGGGCATCAATATCATGTTAAAAAAAGAAAGTTAACACTCAGTCATTCTTCTATATCATTCTTTATAGGCAAGTGTGGAACCATCTGTGGTTCACTGCTATCATGACTTGTCAAAGAGAATAGCAATTGCCCTAAAACACGAAGAAATAAGGTACAGTAACTGATTTACCAGGGAAGTCCACTTATTAGCTATAAATTCATGGCTAAAACAAACCTTGATTTCCAGCTTGCCCTTTGGACAGGCGGGTCTCAAATTTTGGGCAAATCTTAGTTTACTTTTCTTGATTAAGTTGGCAGACAACTTGCCTGGGCTCTTGCCTAGAGGGCAAGTGAGCTCAGGATGAAAGGTCACTTGCCCTGCAGGAAAGTCTACTTGTCCCAGATGACCAGACGGCACGTTTTTGAGCACTGTATATTTTAAATGATTCTTTTTGCATAAAAGCCATAACACAGCATTCAACCAGTTGCATTCCTGATCAGAAGTACTTCTGGCTTTCTGCCAACAAATTGTCTTCAAATGTCTTTACAGTATATTCCCCTCCCCATCCCTGACACAATGTTGATGTTGATTGGTTTCATGTTGACCCAATATTCCAATATTCCAATATTGATTTAGGAGATAGGAAGATCAAAAATTGAATCAAAATAATTCACTGTTACCGGTAGTTTGTATTTGGCCAGCTGATCATATATGCTCCTAAAGGTTAATGTTCTACTGGCTTGTTCCTAAGAGGATTCTCACAATCTTGTAGATATCCCTTGCATATAGATCACAATTTCTCACAAATCTGCTTGATTAGATTAACAGTGCCATCAATTGTCACCTCCCCTTAAACAATGCTAGTAAATTGCCCTCCTTCAGTTCACTCAACCCCTTATGCAGTCTTTTTCACCTAAAGTAGTCCCTCATAAGACATAGAATGATTATGAATTTGTTATGGTTTGGAAGTTGTAACTTAAATATTTATCAAACTGTCATATGATATCATACCTTGGAGAATCTCGTGGACTAACAAATAAGATCTTCATGATTAACATTCATTTTGTGACATCAACTTGTAGCTCCCAAATATTAAGAAATAATTGTTTCTAAATATTGATATTTTTAGGTGCAGGTATCTGAGCTCTGAAAGGGAAACTATGCTTTCTGTACATGATGAAATGTCATCAATGCCAGAAGGTATGGTATTTTAAGAGTTAGCAAGCTTGACTAATATATAGATTTAGGCCAGCCTAAAAGCGTAGCTCCTGGGCCAGGTTGTTCAGAGCCAAATTACCGGTAAGCTAGCTCAGGAAAAGGTAGAATTTTGATTTGAGTTTTGTAACTTTGCGTTGAGGTTTTCTGTATTAGTATATTGTTTGGCCTTCTGTTTTGAGTGTTGATAATCACTATATACACAAAACAAGGCAGCGAAAAACATTTGTATAGAAGAAAGAGTTATGATTTGGTTAACTTTTAATCCTGGGTTAGCATTAACCGGCTTCCAAACAATCCTGCCCTGTTTTCAACACTTTAACCCGAAATGAGCCTGCAATCCAATCAAAAACCAGCACTTGGTCAGCGGTCAACTTAAAAAACATGTGACCTTGATGAGCTGTGAACTTGAGCCTGCGATATGGTCACGTGATACTGGTCAGCGGATACCTTATTTTGACAGATGTCAACTGATCGTAACATGGATGTCCAATATCAAAGAAGTACATGGTAAGCCAAGGCTGCATGTCTCTGTCAACCTATCATTTGGAGTATGGCCGCCATGTTGTGCAATTCCGTCATCATCATCATCGTCGCCATCGTGCGTACGCGCCTGCGAGCAATACTGCTAGCCATGATAACCGTGAGAAAATCAACTCATGGGTTTCCTTTTCTTTCCTATATGAGTATGGGGCTCCACTTGGTGGCCCTTTGGGGCGCCAGAGCTCTGCTATCAATAATGAGCCTGACTGAGCAGAGAAGTGGTCTGAACCTGTTTGATGTATTTGTCAGTTTGATATATTATTATCAATTATTATCAATACTATCAATTTTGACTTTGGGTAGTCTGAACTTTAATAATTATTGCTCAATTTTTATACAGGGGGAAAAAAGAAAATTTTAATCCTGGATAAACTCTTTCTCCTTTTAAAATTTGTGTAAAATACGAGCATGTAGATAATGGTCTTCCTAGACATTGATTAAGTGTAACCCAACCAATTTTATTATAACAGATTGTGCAGAATCACCATTTCAACACATCCTTCCTAAAAGCAAGCTGGCAAGAGACTTACAAGATGTATTCAAAAGGTTTGTCGATCACAATCAAGTAAAATGTGGGAAAAATAGAGCAACAAAAAGTGAAGCTTTCATCAAGGATCTTAAAAATAAAGTAATGAGGATTTTTACAATTCAAAGATTCTCAAGGATTTTCACAATTCTTGCCAGGGTTTTTTTAAGGGTTGTGTCAAGAAATTTCCTTAGAGATCAGCTAATAATCTTATTTTGTGTAAGTGTAGCAGTGCCTGGAAGCTTTTCACTCCGTCATACTATTTGTCATCATAATGTTGGAGGAATGTTGTTCCCAGCGTCTTTCTTCTTTGTGCATCTCTTGTGCTCTTGACAGGGGTGGGCAGGGGAGGGGCGTGGAGAGGAAGAGATACCCTGGGAATGAGTTTAGTGTAGCAGATGTTTTTGTTTTGGGGCTCATTGTTTCTGTTGTTTGTTCTCAAAGGGTTTCAGGCCAATCATGTGGATCTTTCCAAAAACCCAACTGTTATCATGTCAGGATTCAGGATTCTTAAAAAAATTCAGAAAGATCCTTGGATATTTCCTGTACAAGGTTTTTCCCCAGGGTTATCTTAGGGTGCTTTCAGTTTACAATGTTACGACCCAGCCTGACAGATGTATTTTTCATTTCTTTTGTCCTTGTTTTCTTCAGCTTGTGTGCTACTGGATCTGTGCGCCTTAAAATCAATGGCTGGGTGAACGTAAGCTTCTGTCTTCCTCACAAAGTTCACAACTTGAACCAGGGATCAATTCACATTAAGGTAAGTTTTTTGCAGAGAAGAGGCATCATTAAACAGAAATGCGCAGAGATAAAGTACAATATGCAAGAATCTGACAGGCTGGGTAGGGTAGAATTCTCATCAGAAAATTCTCATTCAGTGCTTTTAAGAAATTTAAATCACATTGAGCCTGATCAAGTTAAACCACACGAGGGGGAAATTACGGTGGTTTGTTTTATTTCTTCCCGTGAAAGATGCAGTGATGGCTAAAAGCATTGATACTCAGGTAAAGTACAGTTTTCACCACATGGGGTTCCCTAAGGGAAGGGTTACATTGCATTACAAACCTACATTAGCTGTACAATTATACATTACAAATTGTGGTATACAATGTAGTTGTAATGTACTCTACATTAATGGAACAATGAAACTTGAACGTAAACTTGACTTTTAATATAACCAACAACAACTTAAGGATAAGCTTTTTTTTTCTTTCCAGCCCGAAACCATACATAAGTCACTTGCGGCCATCAGGTTTGTCTTGATCTGTTTGTTGTTGTTGTTGTTGTTTTTGTTATTGTTATTTGTAATTGTTTATCTACATCTTGTACTGGTTCAGAGGAAGTTTCTACAGAGGTACAGTATGTTTCAAGATTTACTGGTTTTTGAAAAGCAGTGTACCCTACAGACTCACTGAATGAACTAAAGTACTTTGTTCTTTCTCTCTGCAGGCCGTACCACACGCTTCTATTTCTAGTGAATGAAGGATACCTGGTAGACTCCCTCCCTGGGGATTGTTCCCCAGCAGTCACTAGGCTTGTAAGAATGGCCAGTCCGCTCAAGAGGTATAACATGTGCCCACTGTGCAACACAACCACCTTGAGCAAAAGGCTCCAATTTTTTTTCGCAAGGAATTACCTTTTATCTCTACACGCAGCCTACCCTCTGCTGGGCCCGCAGCTCAGTCGGTAGTGCAATGAATGATGTTTTTCGAAGGTTTTGGTTAACATCCCACCGAGGTATTTTAAAATTTAAGCCCAAATTTCAGTTTACTTGAACAGAAGAGGTGGGTGAAATTTAGGCTAGACTTTTGTTTCCTAACTTGAATTCCTCATGCCTGTTCTTGTAGGCTGGCTTCTCTTAGTATGTGAGCGCTTAGCAGATTAGCTTGCTTGATAAGGAAGTAAAATTGTTCGAGCCTTAGCCGGATCCTAACACTATTCTGTTCGGAATTTTTCCTTTTCTGGCGTCCGTTTTTGTTTTGCTTGTTTTCGTATTTCGTTTCCCAATCTTCGTTGTTACAACCATTCATTTCTCCTCCACAAGGCAATCTAGTACAGCTTTTAACAAGGCTTTCATCCCCTCTCAGCAATACACATCCTAGCTATTTTTGTCTTTGGCGACACGATGGGACCCCCAAGAGTTTTCCGCTTCCACTACCGTTCCCATCCTGGCCTTCCCGTCCTCGTATCTTTACTAAGGTCCCTATTCTCAATTGATGACTGCTGGAGAAGAGCAAAGTCCCAATGAAATAACAAGAATCACTGCTTAACTTGCTGAGCACAATTCTGCGACAGTCAACTCATTGTGTTCATTTTTATATCAACAGCTTTCAAACATTATCACAGGATACCGATATTCCACTATCTCAGGTACGCATGTCATTCCCAAGGAGTACTCCCTTACATAAACCAGCCTCGTACCCTGAGTCTTCGTTGCCCTCGACCAGCGGTCGGGAAGGGAGTGACCCTGGAAAGTTCTGATTGGGAGTCCAAAAATATTGGACTTGCGGTTGAATTGCGCATGCCTGGCTGGCAAACACGTGGCTCAATCCTGCTCAATCGAGTCTGGTGTTTTACTTCCGCCTTCGGTCACTTTCAATGTCTTTAAAACCAATCAAAATCGATCCTGTAATAGAACTCTTGAGATTCGCTCTTGTCGTGAAGCTTCTGTATTAAGGAGCGAAGACTTGAGAAACGAGATTGTATGCATGTAGGGCGCCTAAGGAAAAACATTAGTCTGAAATAGTGTATAGCTTGTATGCTCTGTTCAACAACTGGAAATGGTTCTTAGAAGAACCATCATTTTTATGATCTCGAGAAATGTATCAGGAGTCCCCAGAGGCCGCGCTCCTTTTGGTCAGCACCAAGAATCGCGACCTCTGGGCTGGTCTAACACCGGAAGTCTCCGATTCACGGACTTCCCGTCAAGTCTAACAAATCTGATAGGCTGAGAATACGAAACGAATACTCTGCGTATGCTCAGAAAATCAGGTGCGGCCATAGGTCGCGATTCTTGGTGTTGACCTAAAGGAGCGCGGCCTCTGGGGACGAGAATGGAGTCCTTCTCACAGGCTAACGCAAACCGAAGCAGTTCCTGTAGGGTCTGTTCTGGAGCAAGGTATCCAATTTTGAGTGGGTCTGATATAGGGTAGGGCAAATAACCTATGTTGGCCTAAAATAGGGTTAGGAAGGTCGCTTCATGTACCATGCACCACACCCCCATCTAAATTTGTTAGGAAGTACCCCTCCCGATGGGATGCACTCGTAAAAAAAATTGTTCGCATCAGTAAGTGTTCATTATACCATTTCAGTCTTAGATGAATTAATGTATGAATCAATACAGCTGGTCGTATTTTTAACATTCTGTGTTATCCACAGGTGTTTGCCATCGCAGCTCATCTGGTGTACTGGGGAATGGCGACGATCATTTACCCTCTCTGCGAGAGTAACGTGTATGTCGTCGCACCAGACTCCTCCACTAGCATGTATGTTGACAATATATGGCTCTTTATACTTATTCTATTCGCTAGTTCGGTCGCTCGAACGTGTTTGCCTGCATTTGTTAGTGCTTGTGTTCGTTCATTGGTTCGTTCTTTCGTTCGTTCGTTATGTTACGTTACGTTCGGTCGGTCGGTCGGTCGTTCGATCAGTTGGTCGTTCGTTCGTGTGGCCAATCGGTCG